TGGAAAGATCACTTCCGGATGTACACTGATGGGTTGAAACCACCAATACAACAAGGTGGATATTGGCAAGGACCACCACTTGAAAGATCTTGAAACTTTTCAGACCGACACCCATTTGACGACCAAATTCAACGCTTTTCAGAAGGTAAAAACGACCATAAAATAACGAGCTAAATTATGCTAAATTGCCGTTTTAAAGATTTTCAAGATCCTTCAAACCAATTTCCACCGCCAGATTCCTTCAAGATCCTTCAAGATCCTTCAAGATCCGGTGGGACCTCCACACCGAGGCAAGAAGACTTCGGGATTTTGGAGGATGACATGCGCACTGTGAGGCCTGCGGATCGGACAGGGCCCAGGGGCAAGTTGAAGGAGCCTTTCCCTGGACTCTCCCGATGTTTGCTGCTTCAAATGTGGAACATTGTACAACTATGTACAACTCCAATCTTGATGCTCGTACATCTACAATCATCTACAGAATTCTACAGATACATAATGATACATACACATTCATTGACATCACATCATTTCTGCCTATCTTGCAACAGGGTGAGCATGGAAACCTTGACTCACCTCAAAACGACAGCACAAGGAACAAGATGGAACAAGGCAGAAATCATCTTGGATTCCATTGTTTTCCGGGTGACGTGAGGCATCCCTGGAAACTCCAGGATCTCCAGCGGCTGGCGAAGCCGTGAGATGTCCGGGCCTTGAGATGTTCGCCGAAATGGCCAAGTCTTCAGGTGAAACGTGATGAAACGTGGCAAACATGGAGAATTTCATGGACATATATTGAAATATATATTGAAATATATATTGAAATATATATTGAAATATATATTGAAATCTATTGAACTATACCCACAAAATCACAGAAAACATCAGAATTCCAGATTCCATACATATTTTCGACGATTTTACCGTGTGTTGGCCACTGAAAATGGAAAAATGATGAAAAATGGGGACACCACCAAGTCATGCTCTGTTTACAGGGCAGGTCGGTTCGCAGGCTTAGAAAGTCTGCCGATCACTCCATGGCCACACTCAGGGGGCGAGATCGAGGCAGGGACGTCCCTGCGCTGTCCTGAAGTTGGATGAACTTTTTGAAAGAAATGGCTGCCAGGGTCAGGGTGAGTTTTTCGAATTCCAAATGGCAACTGAAAAACCGGCAAAATCGGGATTCCAGGGCTGGGGGTGCTATGGGCCATAGCTAAAACTATGACCCAGCTAAGTGCGAGAAGAAAGTCAAGTGGACTCAACTGACTCAGTCCTACTGTAGTCCTACTTGATAGATCGGATAGCTTTCAGCCCTTGTTTTAGTGGGGTAATGAGCCTCTTATCGACCTACGATATCCTACAATTGCATGGGCATCCCAGTGTTGATCCTTCTGATCACCGCACGGTTCACAGTGGTTACAGCAACACGTAATCGCATGATTATCGCATGTAATGCTGATGCTCGGACCATGAAAACTGAAAACTCTCCAAAACCAGTGGCCTTGCGGCCTTGCGGCTCTGCATGCTCTGCTTCGCTGGGTCGAACACCGGCTCGGCAATGGGTGTGGACCAGGGCGAGTGCATCAGTGCATCGATGGCAGTCCTGAATCGGGGAAGAATTCTGAAGCGATTTCCAGAGATGGACTGGGTCATGACTGGTCAGTTTCTGCCGCCACAAATGAAGATTGGGTACATTGATCCATATTGTAGACAGAGTTTTGGGGAGTGAACTCCGAAAAAAGAGGCGCCCAACATCCGTTTAGAAGGCCGTAGGGCTAGAGCAGCAGGTCCTTGCTAAGTCTCGAGCAGTCACGTCAATGTCAAATCAACTCTGCCAGTGACCACTCACAACTGCTGCGGGAAAGATTTCCAGGAAACCACCACATTTAATGGTACATGTAAAACTAATTGCCTCAAACCAATTCGTGTCAGATTTTCATCTTCCAATTTTCCATTCATCACTATCTGTCACCATATAATATGGCATCCACAAGCGCTGCCCGTTGCTCCAAACCCCTATATAGATCCATCGGGTCACCGATGGTCCGCAGAGCAACACGGAGACGTGTTCGCCAAGTCGTGTCTCAAAAACGGCCATGAGTGGCTTGAACATTTACATGTTTGAACATGTTTGAACCATGTAAAGGGCACCCAAAAGCTCAACCATCCTTGGCTTCTTAAGTCTTAATCATTTGCCAATGTTTCAGCTACAAATATTCGACAGATGCGAACCCATCCCCACGACCATTCAATCAAGGTAAGGTTTCACCACGTTAAGGATGTCCTGTTTGAGTTCTTACACATGGATCAACGACGGTTGATATTTCCCAGCGTAGCTGAAAAAATATCAGGATTACCTGAGAGACCCCTTCAGCGAGATACGTTTTCCTTGTGGCCTTGATTTCTTTTGAGACAACGCCACATCTTAGGGTGGGCCTAAGGTCAATGAACCTTTTGCCCAACGCGTCGCATCACGCTGCGAAAAAGGTGTACAACTGCCTGAGACCCTCAGACACTCGTGATCCCTCGTGATCCCTCTTGATCCCTCGTGTATGCTGCTTGGGCCTCCAATGACAACAGTTTTTTTTTAGTGACAAGGACGGCACACACACACACAGGCTTGGAGAGCCACCGCCTTTGGGAGACGTTCACTTGGGTCTACCATGCCTTGCCCAACTGTGACCGGGGTTGATGTAAAACTCCAAGCGATTCCACGAATTAAATGGACGAGCAGAGACATCTCTATCGTTTTCCAAGAATTCCAGAGAAATAGCATCGTTTGTATTGATAAGCATGTTTTGCAGCATATCATCCATCATCATCCATCATCATCCATCATCATCTATCATCATCTATCATCATCTATCATCATCCATCATCATCTATCATCATCTATCATTATCATTCATTATATCTATCATAATCTGCTATAACCATCTATCATAACTTTTCATCATCCCTTTTCATCCTTTTCCTGGGTTTATCCCTGCACATTGCACCTTCGACAGGTTGGACTGCCCCGCGGTGAACCTGCGACGTGGATCGTCGTAGGCAGTAAAAGATTCTAGATTCTAGATTTAGAAATGATTTAGATGGAAGTTTCACCACCACTTCTGCGAAGCTCATGTTTTCGGATATCACTTCAAAAAGACACCGTGTTGAATCTTGGAACACCTAATGCTGAGTTGAGCTGGCACTATCACACTGAGATCAATCTTTTCCAGCCAATTAGTTTCGAGAGGTCAATTTTGCGAGCCGAAAGCACAGGAGATTTTCGCAAACAATGACCATGGTTTCACCTCGATTCCTCCAGAGGCATCTGTTGAAGGCCTATGGCGACTCAACCGGTGGTCCAGTGGAGACTTTGAGCACTTAGTGACCGGCAAAGTCATTTGGGTGTGGGTCAAAACGTCAATGGCGTCAATGGGAATCACACATGGATTGAATAACCGGAATAATTATGAACGATTCTGAACGATTCTGGCTGGTGTTTCTTATTTCTTAGTGAACTGCAATCTTTGCGGGATCAATTTTTGTCCCATACCCATTTGAGTCTGGAAGAAAGTCATGCGGAACCCAAAACTACTACAATCGTTCTACAGTGAGTGAAAGTGAGCTATATGCGAAGCAGACCGGTCTGAGCTCAATCTTCACTTGAGCAGTACTCAATCACTGGTGAAGTTCTCAAAATTCAAGCCAACTAGACGAGACATGATGAAACCAGGAATTTGGCAAATAATAAAATAAGCCTTGTCATTCTTTACTCATTCTTTACTCATTCTTTACTCCATAGTAGCATGCCCGAACTCGAGGAACCACGAACGGGGAATACTCTCGGTGACAGATGTTAGAGCCTCCAGCAGTCAGCTCCAAAGCAGCCTGCTGAGGCCAAATCACACTGTAATTTTCTTTTCCAAATTGTTGCTCCAAAGAACTAGATGCTTTAACTTTAATCATCTTTAATCCAAACAAGTTGGATCAAGCTTGGCAATGGTCCCTTGCCATTGCCATACCATTTTGAAGCCATCAACAAATAGCTGCTGAAAGTTGCTGAAAGTGTCAATGTTATCCTCCATTGAATGCTGCTCATTGGAAATTTCTGCCGGCAAAGTTGCCATTTGCCTTCCAGACCCTGCCAACGCGTCGGATAAAAGGTATAGGACCAGTGGTGACAGGTAAACGGTGAAGTGTTTGTTTGCATCTCTCTATCTTGCTCTGTAATCATTTATAATATACATTTGTATACATTTGTATAGTTCTAGATTATAGGTGCAGATATGATATGATATGATATGATATGAACTTTTAGATGGACACATAAACAATCATAAACAATCATAAACAATCATAAACAATCATAAACAATCATAAACAATCATAAACAATCATAAACAATCATAAACAATCATAAACAATCATAAACAATCATAAACAATCATAAACAATCATAAACAATCATAAACAATCATACGCATATGCCTCATATGCCCCAACTTTCCCGCGTGCGGGAAGGGTTTGAGTTCCCCAGCTTGGGATGATCACTTCGGATTTCTGCGGCTTTGAGAATTTGAGAAGCGAATTTTGAGACAGGTTTAGCTGAACGTTACGAACCATGTGAATGTCAATTAGCTGTCAAGATGTGCGGTGTAGATGGAGCCTAGATTAACATTTTATGGGAATCATATGGAATCATGTTCTTGAAATTTTGAACCTTTGAATTTCGTACTTCGTTTCACCATGTTTCACCATGTTTCACCTTGACTCGGAGCTGTTGCTCAAGGTAGAAACCATGGTACCAAGTGCATGGCGCATCCGTGGATCATTTTGGATGATCCCAGTTGACTACACATTGGTTGACAGATGTTGAAACATGTTGAAACCACCATTTCTCCCAAGAGCTCTTTCATGTATTTTCATCAGCCATGTTTTCTCCCTTCAAAAGAACCCACTAAAAAGGCTCCCCTAGGCTCCCCATGGCTCCCCAAGCGTCCAAGTAGGGCACAAGCACCGTAGCAGACCTCAGCACATCGCAGCTGCACCATGGAGAAAGCGGAGGAAGACCCATGGAGTCAGAAGACTCAGATGGCACCAAGGATGGTGATCCTCTGAACATGGTGAGCCAACAAAGATCAGCATTAAGCTCATGATTGACTCATGATTCATAAAGCCAAAAAGCACACACTCATATACAGTAACTAGATGTAACTAGGATTCCTGCAAACTGTGCAATTTTTCAAAAGACCCCCATTGCAGTGAGAGATTGCAGTGAGATCTTCCACGGGCCATCAGGTGACCGAGCAGGGGTCAGGGAGGTGTTGCACCGAACGCCAGGCTGGGAGCCCTTGGGTAGCAGCTGGTTCATCGAGGTAAGAACAGTAAGAACTGCTACCAAAATGGGATTAACATGGGATTATACCAACATCCAACCCACAGGGAGATGTCACCAACAGTACTGGTGATAAAATGTGCTGTCTCTCAAATTTTGGGACCCAAATCCACCAGTTGGATCTGCGCCTGGAAGTGCCATATCCAAACATATGCCTGAATCCGTTGTCACCTTTATCACTGACATCAAGATATGTGATATATCTAGATCCTGTTAGATTTCTTGAGATAGAGTCGATAGAGACAATAGAATCAGATATTAATAACTTATTAATAGAATTAATATGAATTAATAGGATCATCATGATCATCTTGTCATTTCCTGGGTTCATTGGACATCATGGATTCACCATGGATTCAGCAAACACGTCTCAGGCCATGCAGCACAGGAAGCTGTGCGCTATATGGAGCCAGGGAGGCTCAGAAACCACAGTGATCGTCGAAATCCACTGAGCTTCTGAACATTTCAACATGATTAAAGAATATTAAAGACTTGCATCATTGCATCTCTTCTTTTGTTCGGTGTGTATTGTCATATGAGTCATATATACTTGATTTTCCAAGTTTGGTTGACTGTAGTCCGCAGATATCCCTAGTTATTTGTTGCCCCAAACAAGGGGAGTGATCATCGACTCCTTGTGTTCATGTATCATCATGCATCCTGGCCTGGACCCAATAGCTGAGCGGCATGGACTGACCAATACATTGTTGGTATGGCTTTGGCCACACCATTATTCTTGAGGGTAACAACTAATGAAAGGTAATGAAACGTATCTCCCAAATCTTGTCATTTTTTGTTTCATCCAATATTGATGGTTTCAACAGTTTCAACCATCTATTGAACCATCGCCAAGTTGATGTGCCTCAAATGCCTAGTTTATTCCCACCCAGCCGCGACAAGGGGCGACTCATTAGCGCACCCAGGTACGTGCCACTGCAGGAGTTTGAAGAAATCAAAGCTACGGTGAAGCAGGAGGCCGGGTGTCGATAGATCGGTCCCTGTTGATGGATGGTTCAATGCATGGGGTGTCCGAAATCCGAAATGGGTTATAATTTATAATTGGGTTATAACAATTGGGGATGATCACAATCCATCATGATATGGGATTCTTAAGCAACGCAAGCAGATATTATACCAGTGAAATCGTTATTTTGTCACTATCAACATGGCAAAATGGGTGCTTGTACCACGGAAAATACAGAGCTTGACAAGAAAAATGTGGTTTGCGGTCTGGTCATCAAGCCTGACTGGCCAGATTTTTCCCTGAAATATAGATGGGGAAGTTTCAGTTGCTAGGTTTGTTTACTCAAGTCTTAGAAACCTTTGTATAGGTCATCATTTGATGCCTTCTTTGGCCTTGTCAAGGGAGGGGCCTGTTGTGTGCGATAGAAAATTGAGATACATGTTTTTTTTTGGCAACTACTAAATAAAATCAATCCAGATATGAGCAGGTTGCACTTTTTAGCACATACTTTTCACCCAACTATGTGGTCATATTTCCATACATCAATAAGATTAGGTTTTTGTTCAGAAGTTCTTGGGTATATTCTAGTTCCGTGCAATTCCCATGTAAACTCATATTTATATTGCTTGCTTAAGAGTTACCTTGTGAATTATGTTGTTCTTATTGAATGCAATTAAGTAAATACATCAGAGTCAGAAGGCAAAGAATCATACATGCAAGTACACACAATTCAGGAATAATATTGAAACATATGTGCACCTTAATGTTGCATGAACCCTTCCACTACTCCTTGCAAAATATAGCGTTTTGTCCAAATATGCAGGGTGTACTTAAGAAAAAGTACAGCCTTCCCTTGAACGGGAAGCATGTTTCTAGTGTAGCATGAGTTTAGCATTCCTGTTCTAAAGTGTAATATTAAATGCAATGATATAGTATCCCGAGCTTGTAAAGAAGCATTTTTCATTCATTTGCAATTTTCCTTTCAGAATGTCTAATGCATACTGTTTTTCCAACAAGCAACACTCCTACAAATTATGGAGGAATCTTCTAAAAGATGCAGCACTCGTTTCGAAAAAGCGCAATCTTCTTCCACATGATATGGTATCCCTTCAAGTAGGCAATATTCCTGTGCCATATGTAGCGTGCTTTTCAATTCACAGCCATGTTTTTAATATGCAGAATCCAATGCATCAACGGAATATTCCTTGAACATCCTGTAAATATGACTATGTTGCTTGCACATCGCAAGAATCCCACCATAAGACACTATAGTCAGTATTCTTTTCAAGAAGCCATGTTCCTGCCAAAATAGAAGATGATTTTCCTGACACATGTAGTATCCTTGTTGAAAAGGTTCAGTCTTCCTTGTTTGTTGTTTCTTAAGAACCAGTTGATTTTGGCATGCGGCTGATACGCCGCCCTTGGAAGGGTTGCTTATTTTGAGACGTGCCATTTACGATCCCGTGGAAGGGTTGCAAATTAAAAAAATGAAGTTTGCAAAAATGGGGGTTCAGGATTTGAATTTTGGCTTTGTTCAAGATGTTGCACATGCTCTCTTATGGTCATCGGGGGGTGGGGTGGTGGGGGGTGTGATAACGTTCTTGACGAGTATTATACATGGCCCATGGAACTTGTTGCTGTTGTCAACATGTTGCACATGCTCGCTTATGGTCATCAGGGGGTGTGTGATAACGTTCTTGACGAGTATCTTTGCGTTGGGATCATGGCTTTGCACTATTCACTTCTTCAGATTCTTCAATTTGCTTTGATAGCCGCTCGCATGCGACTTGTAACATTTTTCGGAGGCGTTGCCGGCCTCAGTGCACGGGGCAGACCTCTTTGGTGTGATGCTTCTGACTCAAACGGAACACCCAGCAGCACCGCAACCAACCGCTCAGGCTCTTTAAATCGCAGTTTGCCACCTGCGAGTCCTGCGCGCGATAAAGACAGACCTTTGCTGCCAATCTCGTTGTTCATCGCACTTGGCGATTCGTTTGCGAACCAGGACGCTGACACCGCCCAGATCGCCCGGTGGACAGCTTTTTTTCTTGCAGGTCTGCATCCTTCTTCCGAGCACTGCAGCATTTACGTGCCATTGAAACACACGTCCTCGCGGAGATTTCTGCCCGACTGGCATGGAGTTCGCACGCTTGGGCCAGTTTCTTTTCCAATGCTGCGTACAGGTCGTCGGACTGAACTTGTGCAACACATTCAGTCTTTGGGTGGTCCACCCATTCTCTTGTGGATTCTTCCAGCTCAAGACCGTCTTCTGCTCTCAGACGAGACTTGCGCTCTGTCCGATGACGTGTTGGCTTTTCCATGCATAACTTACAACGCGCTGAATGGTTTTTATTTCCCCCTCCGCGTTGTGCTCCAGCCTGTCCTTGTCCCGGCGTTGCCTGACACTGCAGCCCAAGAGCATCTTCAACTGCTACTCTTCGGACTTGCTCAGCTCCATCTACCAGCCACACGAAACATTTTCTTTTGTTTCAAGAATGTCTTCACTTTCTGGACATGTTGCACGAAACTGTGTGCCTGCCACTATGTCGTTGTCTGAAACGCGTTGGCGACCGTCTCTGTGGCCGCGGTCTGTCGCAGCTTTGCCTGGTTTTGTCGCCTGCATGTGTGGTCGATTTGATCATTTTCGACAGCTACAGTTGCTTGTTTCACGTGTTGCTTGATTTGGATTTTATCATTGTTAGAATAGAAGGAATAGGTTTTTGCTCCATGTTCTTCTTGCTTGCTGCTGGTAATTTGAATATTTGTTTGCATGAGGCCAGGTATTTGCTTTTGCAACCGAATACAGATTGAGATTTGAAGTTTTGCTTTTTATATGTTCCTTTTGCCTTTGCTTTTGTTTTTTTGTTTTTTTTGGGCATTTTTTGCATTTTTTTTTTAAACTTTTAGATTTGCTTTTTTTTATGGTTGCTTTTTTGGGTTCCCTTTTCCACATTTTTTGAGGAAAAAATATTCCATTGTTTTATAGGATCTGGCTGGAAGCGGTGAACATAAGTCTAGCCTAGCTTTCACTCGTTCCAGCACCTCTCCTGGCAAGCGGCGATTGACAAACTTTGTTCGCACAACTGCTTCTGGTTCGTTTTTGTTCATTCCACTGGCCATTTCGTGCAAGCAATGCTGCATGTACCATCTTCGTCTTCAGGTCCTGAGATTTGGCTGGGGCAGCCTCAACCCACCGCGCGCGCAGCTTGCGTGGCTCGAATTCCTATCAATGTCGCGGACCCGCCCTTGACGGCGCGTCATAGCAGGCACGCCATGAGGCGCTTTGCGACTTGCACAGGTGGTGCATCATCTGCGGCTGCTACTGTTTCATCGTTCAGCCCGATCCCGCTGTGTGCGCGCACCGTGATGAATTCAGGGGCCTCTTGTGCTGCAGCCCGGACGTCTTCGATCGAGCATTTCAACGCATTTACAAACGCTCCCCTGAGCGAGCACAGGTCGTAGCAAGATATTTGTTGGCAGACTTGGTACGATTTCCTGTCGACTTGATCGAAGCCAAGCTCCCGGAGATTTTTTCAATCACTTCTTTGCTTGCAAAGAAAGCAGGGTGTCCGTTCGAATGGGCATTTCTTTTATTCCTGCCGCTTTTGGGCACTGCGTGCGCCCAAGCTCGTTTATATACCAGTAGTACCGCA